TAACCCCCTCAAAACTGTTATTGTCCCCTTCACCAAGAGAAGAAAGCTCGGCAAGCTTCGACAACCTACCTTGGCTGGAGAAACCATTCCTTTTGCGGAGGAGGTGAAATATCTGGGAATCACCCTAGATAAGAAACTCACCTGAAACCCCAATTGGATAAAACCATCAACAAAGCCAGATTATCCCTCTGGACCCTCAGAAGGATATGCGGAAAGCATGGGGGATCAGTCCTTAACTGATCTACTGGATCTACTAAACTGTGGTAAAAACCCATGGTTACGTACGGCTCTGTCGTCTGGTGGGACAAGGGACTTCAACGGACGGCCAGAGCAAAGCTGGCTGGAATACAGCGACTTGCGTGCCTCGCCATAACTGGAGCAATGTCAACTACACCTACAGGAGCCTTGTAGACCATGCTGGACCTAACCCCTCTCCACATTCTGCTGGAAAGGGAGGCCAGAATGGTCTCCTACAGGCTCCTGAAAGTGGGTAGTCAATGTTACGAAGAACTGCGATGGGACAAGACGGGGCTGATGAGTGAAATTAATAACCATCTCATCCTCGGCATGGTTTCGGACTCGCTAGTTGCCCGACAGCACATAGAAAAGCCATACAGCGTCCTCATTCCAGAGAGAGACGCATGGAGCAGAGGGGAAAAACCCTCTCCCAGGCAGACTATGCGTTGTACACGGACGGCTCCAAAACTGAAAAAGGAGTAGGAGCGGGAGGCCTAGAGTTGACATATCAATAAACCTAGGCTCTCTGGCCACGATCTTCCAAGCAGAAATGATTGCTATAGAATTGAGAGCGAGAGAGTTGATTAATTTTCTCCTTGCAAACAAGACTATGAAGATCTTTTCAGATAGCCAGACAGCCTGTAGTCCCTAAGCTCCAATTGAGTTAACTCAAAGCTGGTTTGGAACTGTATAAATACCCTAGATTGCCTCGGTGCCCAGAACAAAGTTACTGTGATCTGGGTTCCGGGACACAGCGGTATGGAGGGCAACGAAAAAGCCGACGCACTTGCTAAAAGAGGAACCGAATCTGTGTTCATAGGACCAGGACCATTCTTAGGCATTGCAAAAAGCACTGCCAAAGGAATTATCTCAAAATGGACGTAGGGTGCAACAATCATGAACTGGAGAGATACCCCAGGGCAAACCCATTCGAAGGCGTTTATAACCAATCCTTCTATGAACGCCTCTGCTCAGATACGAAAATGGAGTAGGAAAGATCTACGCATTTTCACTGGACTGATGACAGGACACTGCCGTCTGGGCAACCACATGAGAATGATAGGTCTGCAACAAACATCGGACTGTCGATTCTGCCGCGTGGAGGACGAGTCTGCAGAGCACATTTTATGTACCTGCTCCGCTCTGGAAAGAACCAGGTTCCAGATCTTCGGATTTACTCGACTGGAGCCTACTGACTTTAAAGAAGTCTCACCCAATTCAACCATGACCTTTATTAAAAGGTGTGGCTTGTACGGTGAACTATAAGTTAGTCATAAGCCATAATAGACCCATTTGGGTCGCAGTGGAAGGCGATGAGATCATCCCAGTCATTTTCAACCTAACCTAACCATAAGCCTTCATACTGTAGAAGCTTAAAGTTGGTGCAAACGCTCTTAATTCAGGGGATTATTTTGTTCTGTAATGATCTTTAATTGCTCTCTTGACCAATTTCTTAGAACCACTTGCAAGAGTAGCCTAAAAAATAAACTAATTTGATCTAAAATAACACATATAAATAAAATGTTTCCTCATCATTAAAACCATTTATGAAAATTACTGGATTTAATTCTTACATCCACAAGTGTATCTGCACTTTTGATAAAAGAATTATTTTTTATATATATCCTATCATACTGTTTAAAGATTCCAATCTACTTTGTAAAATATATTTCTCCTAAGTTTTTTAATTATATTTTTTTGCATAGAATCTTCTTTTAAGCTAATTTTTTATCAAAACATAACTGTTTAAATTTTTTTTCTTCCTTAAGCATTGCTTTCCTGAAATCATAATAATTCTTGATTATATGAGAAAATATTTTATTTTACTTTTTTAAGTTCTCTTTCCCTTTTAGATGCATTTAGTGTAGATGAAGAGAGTTAAAGATTGAAATTTCCTGTCTTGCTTATTTTCGTCCCTACAAATGAAATGTACATAAAATGTATTCTGCAGATTTATTAATTATATACATTTAATTAAATTTCAAAAGTTCCATAGGCTATTATTACCAGCACCCGTTTGGTTTTTAAAAATATAAGAGTTAATCATACCTTTTCATTAGCCTTCTATCCTTCTTTTCCAACTTCAAAATTTTTAATGTTGGGAACTGCAGATAAGGGCATATTTTCTTAGCCGTCGTTATTTTTAAGCCTGTAAACAATAATGTAATAATAATAAATGTTTAGTATTGAACAAAATAAGCAAATAAGTGTGTTTCGAAAGCCACATATATGAATATCGAATTACAATTATTTACAGTTTATATGGAAAAAACTTACTTATTTCTAAAGCAAGGTACAGGTACAGCCAGGGCCGACAAGAGGGGGGGCAGCCGGGATTAATTCCCGGGCCCGGAAGCGGTATAAGGGGACCCGGCAACCATGGCGAGGATTTTGTTTTTCAGAAGTTCGGCACAAGACAAGAGGGACAAGTTGTTATTTGGGGACCTTTTTTTAGAAAATTCAAGTAAAGCAGGTGAAGTTTTAGCTTGAAGACCTTTTAGAAAATTCAAGTAAAGGAGAAGAAGTTTTTGCCTGAAAACCTTTTTTTAGAGAGAAATTTAAGTAAAGAGGAAGAGAAATTTTTTATAAAATTGTCACGGGGCCTGTTCTGGAGAATTGTCCTGGGGCCCGACCTGGCTCTCGGCAGCCCTGGGTACAGCTTTTGGTATAGATCCTTTTATTAATCTATTGCTACCTTTATAATAATGTTCAGTTGAAAATGGTCTGAACACAGACATGTGTTTTTAGAAATGCTTAAACTAAATACTTGACAGTTTGGTCGTGAAATCAGCAAGAAATCTGAAATAAGTAAAAAAAAAGATTTAAAATATTAATGGCAGTTGAATAAATTATGTACAATACAAAAATATATCTAATCCAGTTTACATTATACGAAAAGGCATAAATAAGGCATTATCGCAAAGAAAACAACTATTTTTTGTCGAACGCAACCAGTTACGGTGATGCTCAAATGAAGAACATTCTACGAATATGTTTTCTTATTCATTTGACGATTTCCCATTTTAAGTTACGTTTATGGAATATAGAATACTTACTTGTGAAACGTCAACCAAGATCCTTTTAAGTATTATTATTGCAAACTATACAAGCTTTCGACATGATTAGAAATTATTTTATAATAAAAATACATTTAAAAATTTTATCAAAGAGACACGTTGTCCAAATTGTCTTTAGAAGCCACAAAAAACGATCTTTTTAAAAACGAAAACAAAACGTCAAATGAAATGTCATTTATCACAAATACGCGCGTTATTTAAATTAGCCAATCATAAAGCGTCGTGTACCTAACACTGAAGGGGTTACCCCACTGATCTGTAGGTTACCCCCTTCAGTACATAACAAACCCATTTGAGTTACACCTCTAGTCTTATATGCTCTAAGGTGACAACCATCTGAGAATTAGGTTGAATTTAAGAATACGGTGTATGACTCATCCACGATACACGACTCATCTAAAAAATTTTGATGGATAAAAGAACAGTTTTGATGAAATCTAGATGGCATCGATGAATATTAGAAAAAGCATCGACTGCTGCAATCTGATGAAAATTATTTAAGAACGACTGACATTTGTGATTTTGTATTCTTAACTGTCAAACTGTCTTTATTTAATGAAGACAAACAATTCGAACACTTTTTGATAAGCACAAAAACTAAAGACAAGTATGGACAATACAATAATTGAAAAAATATGTACTTGCCTTTATGTGCTTGCTGTATGTCTAACGCTGATAATCTTATTTTAAAAGTTTGCCCACTTAGAGGTTGGTTTAATAAAACCCAGTGAGTTTCTTCATTTATATTATAAGGAATTTTGAGCGAACTTTTTCTATTTCCGTTTAATATTAATTAATAATTTAAGGTTATGTCACGTGATCCATCAGTGCATCAACTTAAGGGGCGTTTGATTTGAAACTCGATCGAGCGAACGTCGAGGAGACCGAGAAGTGATGACGTCACAATAGATCATTGAATCAAATCAAATAAAACAGAGTAAAAAACATAACCTCGCTTTTTTGTGATTCTTGTTTCTGGTTTGTATGTTAAAATAGTGAGCAAAAAGTAAAGAAATTGGAAAAACTTTTAATAATAAGGGGTAATGGCCCTGAAATGCAGCATTTACCACAAATGCCCACTTCGCTCTCATACTTCATGACTGTGATTACTGGTGATTAGATCTGGACAGAAAAAAATGTATTTTCCAAACACACATTTTGTGTTTTTTTATGATGAATAAGACAAAAGCGGCTAAGTAATTTGTTGACTTCTTGTCTGGTCTTTAATTTTGAGATTTAAATTTGTTTGTAAGTTAATTAAAAAGAGATAGGTAGAGACAAAGACAAATTTCTCCCTCTTCTCGATCTTTCTGCTCTGAGAACATCGAGCTCGCTCTATGTTCTCGCTCCAAAGCGAAACAAACACTTTAGGGATCTCTCGGAGTGTCAATTCAAACACTTTTGAAGCGCTCGGAGATCTCCGATGATTAAATCAAACGCACCAATAATCGAGTCGATGGATTTGGTGACAACCATCTGAAAATTAGGTTGAATATAAGAATTTGATGTGTGACTCATCTAAAAATTTTTGATGGATAAAACAACAGTTTTGATGAATGAGAGATGGCATCGATGAATATTAGAAAACGCCTATACTGAGATGGCCCAATTGGTAGAGCGCGGACGACCCAAGTCCGAGATTCCGGGTTCGATTCTCGGTCTTTCACCTATTTTTTCTTCCTTTAATTATCAGCTTTTTCAAATATTTTTTTTGGTTTGTTTTCACTTTGGGGATACGAGGGTGTGATTTTCATAAATTCGTAGGAGAAATTGGGGATTTTTCATTTTCAGAATTTCCAAAATATGCATTTAGTCTTCGGATCTTAACCGATTTTCTTACTTGATGTTCTATCATAATTTTTTTAGGTTATAATGCCAACATGTTACATTAGCAATTGTCCAAGTCGGACTTACAAGGGAGAAGTAAAATTGAAATATTTCTGTTTTCCTAAGGCGAAACAACTTAGACAAGAATGGTTGAAAGCATGTAAAATGTTAGGAAAAGATGTTAATGTTGAATATGGTAAGTTGCTTGCTAAATAGCATCAGTTTTATTATTATTAGCCGTTTTGTTTTTACAGGTATACTTGACTAACTAAAAGTTAGATTCTGATCTAAGCTAAGTTGTAAACAGAACGCGAATTTTTGTTGACAGGTGTCCCATGTCATCCGTTTAAAAACAATCGAGATTTTTATTAAATTTTATAATTTCTTCATCATTCAACACTACGATCTTACCCCCTGTTATCATAGTCTTTTAATCTCTCTAAAATAATGAATTTATAGGATGTGTTTATTCCTATGATGCACAGAACACTCACTTTCTGTTATAGTTTTTAGTTGACGTCAAGATCCGTTTACCTTAGCATCGGTAAGGGGGAAAGAAAGATTTTGACTTACAATCACAAAAATAACGTACAACTAAGCTTAGTCTATGTAATTTAGCTCAGATTAGTGGTAAGAAGAAAACGACTATTATTTGTGGTGTATTTCGCAGATTAAGAGGAATATTTTTATCGCGATCGACTAAGGGTGGAATTTATTGTCGAGCCTTGAGGAGATATTATCTCTCAAAGCCTTCTTAGGAACCCTCAAGAATCCTTTAAGATTAAATATAGAATTTGTGGTAGTGTTGAGATTGGTTTGTGGTATGATTTGTTTGAATTTTATTACAAAACGGAAGCTCTTGAAAACTTTATAAATAGTGTAGACTGGAGAATTAAATTGTTCCTCATATCAATATGCCTAAGCGTTACATAAGAGACTAGGATAATTCGTTTGAAAGGCCAGAACAGGGATTTAAGTCCCGCTCGAGATTTTCCAAAGTTAATTTACCTCTCATAAATAATTGGTGTCTGCGCCTGTATCGTCATTAATTCAGTTGCTGCAGAACTTCAGTAACTAAGCAGATGTTATTTTCCCTCATCCATTCCTTCTTTGAAAAAGGGTGTATATAACAAAAATGTTGAGGACACCTCGATAATTCCTCACATAAGGAAGGCCTCAAGACTGGACTATACATTCCACCCTATAACTCGACATTTTAGATCGGTACTTAAAAGGTACCTTTACATTTTCTCCATTTCATACACATTATAGCCGCGAATTTGTAGAAGTCATTGCGTGGGTGACAACAGTGAGCTGTTCAAATGCATCATCTTTCTGTTTTCCACTATGGTAGGTGCGATTTCGTCTCACCTTTTACTCAAACGGCGCCATAAATAATATGTAAGTCGAAATAATAAAGGCCCGCCTGTTTTAATATCAAATTGAATTTTTTGAAGTTTTCTGCTGCTGATTGAAAGTTTTTCTGAGACATTGCGTTTGTTTATTGTAATACTTTATTGTGTTAATTATAATTTAATAAAACATTGAACTTTGAACAATTGAATTTGATCAATAGCTATTAATTTTTTATCACTAACATTACATTAACAACTTGTGTTGACCTAACTTTCTCACTTTCTCTTTTTATTGTTATGCACATGTCCTTAACCTAGGTAGCTTATAAATACAACATCCATAATACTAGGACGAACAGATAAGCTCACGCACCTGTCTTTTCCTCTTAGTCTATCTGTATCTGTAACGTGTGGAGGGTGGGTTACCCCCACGGCACTTAGGCCTCATTAGGCCCCATACTCGCCGAACACAAATCTTCTAATAAATGAGAGCGTCGGGCAATCGTAAAGGATATGCTCGATGGTCTTATCTTCTTGTTCGCACCCTCTGCAGAGTGCGGATTCTGACAGCCCCATGATATGGAGAAGCTTACGTACTTGGCAATGACCAGTCAGAATGCCTGTGACCAGACGCAGATTCTGTCTAGTCATAGTCAAGTATTTGTTTGCTGCAGTGTTGTCAGGATAACTTAAGAGCTCCCTGTCAACTCTGCAGTTTTTTGTTTCGTCCCATCTTTCCTTGAATTTCACAAGGGAATGTTCTTTAATTAGGTCTGTCACTACCGATTTTGTCAGGCCAATAGAAGGGCCAGGTCCAAAAAGTATTTGGTTGGCTGCTTTCTTGGCTAGTGAATCGGCAAGACGGTTACCTTTCGATGTAGCGTGACCTTTGATCCATCTTAAGGTGACCACATTGTTGATGGATACTTTGGCCAAAGCTTCATGACATTCTAGTACTAACCCTGAATAAATTCGTGGTCTGTTCAGGGTGAGTAGTGCTTGTCTGCTATCTGTATAGATGAGTATGTTCCTTCCAGTGATATTATTTCTGGTTATTTGTTTTGCTGCTATGAGAATCTCCGTTAGCTCTGTTTGAACTACACTGGCACTATTTCTCACAGTCCATTTTATGTTTAGGTTTAAGAATCTGGAGTATATTCCGCATCCTGAGCCTTGGTTTGTTTTAGAACCGTCGGTGTAGATATGAATCGTACCTGCCACTTCTGGGTCTTCTATTTGTTCTATTATAACTTTATATGGCTTATGGAAGATATATCTCGGTGAGATGGAGTCCATGTTCGCTTAAAGCAGTGGGAGCGTATCGAGCGCCTCCTGCCAAAAGCGACGTCTCGCCTCACCAGATCCTACATCAGGTTCTATTCCGACCGTGCGGAGGCGCGTCATTGTCATCAGAGCAACCTCCTTGATGTAAATATCAAGGGGAGTGAGACTAAGAATGACTTCCATCGCTCTAGTCGGTGTTGTTTTCATGGCTCCTGTTATGTTGAGACATGCTGTTCTTTGAATCTGTTCTAGTTTACGGATAGCTGTTAATTTTTGGGTTTTCGGTACCCAAACAACTGCACCGTATGTTAACATAGGTCTTATGACAGCCGTGTAAGTCCATGCGACGACTCTGGGGGAGAAACCCCAGGTGCGTCCCACAGTACGGCGGCATTGTTCATAAGCAATGTATGCCCTTTTAACTCTGTCTAAGGTCTAAGCTTTTCCGCAGCTGACGTCAATGCGTGACAAATTATTTGTAGTTAATATAACTAATACGTGCATTTTAGCTCGCTTTTCTCAGTTTAATGTGTTTTAAATTGGTGTGAATACGTTATTTTAGTTATTTTGGTCATTTATGGCGGTGTTTGGGTTTTTTATTACGTTAAGAAATACAGTAACAATAATAAAACAACAAAAACCTATCTGCAACTGCTAAGAAAACTCGAAATTTTTTCAGTTGAAGATATTTGCATTAAAGAAAAACTATTGAAATTACCGAAGAATAAGTGGAAACTGAAAGATAATGCTGTACCTTTACTTAATCTATCAAAATCTCCTAATGCCAAGACAAGGGAAATGTTAAAGTGCATTAGATTAACAATATATTTACCCTATGATGATGACGGAAAGCAAATTTGGAAGAACTACGATGGTATGGTTTAGAAAATTTGGCCGGTTTTATTGCATAGAAAATGAGAAAAAAAAGAGAAGCTAGACTATATTTCAGATTGTAACGAAGCTTTATTTTCTTGGGTTTCTCACGCCCGCCCTTAAGTGAAGGTGACTTATAAATGCCCACTGGGGAGTTTTTAACGAAATACAATGAGTTCGATCATAATATTTAACAATATATAATGGAAACTCACTGAAAATTGAAAAAAACTGTCTTAAAGATTTAAATAATTTTGCAAAAAATGTGGATTTACTTGACGAGGCTGAAAGTCTTGTTTTCAGATGTAAAATATATTTTAAAATAAGAATTCTTGATAAAAATATCAAAGAAAAAATATGAAAGCGCAAAATTTTAATAATCAAATAAATGTAGAAAACTTTAAATTTATACATCATAAGTACAATATGAAAAAACTTTACCCTATATATTTAAAAATATAAATCATAAAACTATTTTCAAAATTAATTACAAAAAAATATTTAATCATAATTTCTTAAGCTATTTTGTACTGTGCAAATAAAACTATTATAAAAGCCTAAATTGATTTATTAAAATAGTGATTATAAATTATTTGTTTATAAGTGAAAAGTTTTTTAAATACACAAATAGGGTAATGTTGTATAAGAGTACGCACTTAGTGAAAATTCTAAAATAATTTCTCAGTTTTAGGCGAAGCGTACCTAATTTTTTAAAATTTTATAATATAAAGTAGTCACAGCCAAACATATTTTAAACATGTTATGCTATACATTATAAAAAAAAAGAGATATTCAAATTTTTTGGAAAATCTTCAGATGCATGCTCTTATGCACAAACATTTATAAGAGTACGCATGCTAATGTATAAGAGTACGCACTATATCTTTCTCTAAAATATGGTTGCACGTCATGTTATATTTGATTGTTTACTAATAAAATGAAAAGATTTCATATAGAAAACGTAAGTTTATTGAAAGTAATACAAAATTAAAAAATATTCCTTAAAGGAAAATGATGAAACGTAAATAACGTTTACATTCAATGGTTCTACCAAAGTTTTATTATTTTAAAATAAATTATCCCAAATAAATTATCCATATTGAATATTCAACAATTTTAAGTACCTCGTACCATACGACAGTATCGGTAAAAAGCCAGCGGTGTTTTTTTTTGTTTAGCTCGCGAAATTAAATTCTCCTGGGTCTAACGCAAATTTCTAGATAAATCGATGGGATTTTGATTTCAAAGCTCTGGTTAATAACAGTGATATATATTTTGAGGAAATTTTCCAATAATTGGTGTAGGCGGATTTAATTTCTCAAATATTAATTTAGTACAAGTGTTTCTGGTTGAAATTATTTATTTTGTGCATTTGTACTATTTACGTCGATTGACGGATTTCTTTGATAGCTGTTTTGAACACTTTGATGAAAACGTCTCTACAATAAGGAATTATTTTTGGAATAACTGTGTAGGAGACGTTTATTTGGGTACCGGTTCTGATTTCAAGAACGATAAATTATTGTTTCCAACTGCTGGTAGAACAATTGAACTGTAAAACAGAATTTTATGATTGAAACAAAATACCAAAAGGCTTTTTATTGTGGATTTGGCTGAGAGGGAATTCGAACCTTTTAAAATAAGTACCCCGCTGTGGGAATCATTTTATTATTATTTATTTTCT